TCACACACCCCCCCCCCCCGCGTGAATGTCTGGGGCCCGCCTCCCCGCCTCAGCTCCATGGGGCTGGATCGGCGCGACCGACACGCTGCTCGGGGAAACGGGAAACCCCGCCCCCTAAGCGGAGCTATTGAGCCGGGGCTGGTCTTGTGCTGAGCCTGGCGCTCCCCTGGAAATGGTGCCCCCCGCGATTCCCAGCGCGCCAGCCGGAGTGCCCCGGTGAAGGCGAAGCTGTACTACCAGCTAGTCCCCAAGGGACCCGTCTGATGAAGTCTGACCTTCTGCCTAGCACAGGCTGGAAAATCGCCCTAGTAACTTATTAGTCAATACCATCGGCGCTCAAACCGTCTGCCCCAGGGACAACAGTCCAGCCCCTGTGAGCAGAGAGCCCATCCCCTTCTTGTATCAAATCGTGTCCCCTCTACAACTTCCTTCAGTCCTTTCTCTGATCCGTTTTAACCGTGTGTCTTTGAGCCTGGCTGAACGCTGATTATCAAATGTGCTGGTGCTTTATAATAGCACATTAGAGGCAGTCTTATGTTACAGGGCTTTTGCTGAGACAGGCATGAGCAATACAAAAAAGACTCAGGGACTGCTCGGGAGAAGATATTAACCTAGATGGTTGCCTTTCTAACCCATCTGCTCTTTACTAAAAAACAACAACCTTTTATAGCCACAGATGCTTTCTGCTGTGTTTTGATTGGCTTGTCACTTAATGGCCATTCCGTGTGTAGGGTGACCAGATGTCCAGATTTTATAGGAACAATCCCGATATTTGGGTTTTTTCCTTATATAGGCTCCTATTACCCCCCACCCCGTCCCGATTTTTCACACTTGCTACCTGGTCAGCCTACGTCTGTTCAATCTGAGCCCTCCCTTAAGACTGCCCTACTTCTGAATTGCTTATGGATTGCTTTTATTCACCAGATTCCTGTCCCTGTGTGACGCTCATCACGCCCCTTCACCTTTCACTGGAAGGCAGCCTGGTCTGGTGGAATTAGTGCAAGGCTGGAGGTCCCAAATTCTAATCCCGTCTCTGCAACTGATCTGTGACACTGGCTGAGTTGCTTTACTGTTCCCTGGCTGTAAAGGGGAACAATAATAATTAGTCAATATCTGTGCAGGGCTCTATAACGCCCTATAAAATGCTGCATATTGGTGTGTTACACACCCATCCCTATGCAGGCAAACGCCGAAGGGAATCAGTGGGAGTTTTTCTTGGAAAAACCCCTATAACTCCTTGCTTGTTAGTTAAACAAAAGGCATTACATGGAGCTTCCCTTTCTCCTTAGTATTTCTCCCTAGGCTATGAGGTGTGTAGTTCCTGAAGAGTTTTGTCCTTGTTTGCACACACAGTTTGGAAGCCTGATCATCCCTTTGTACCTGTTCTCACTGGAGTCAGCTGGAATTTCGCCATTAACCTGAATGGGAGCAGCACTGCGGTCTTCATTTTGATGCTTTTAAACTTTCTCTTTCTCTTGGCTGAGTAGGCCTGGTCAGGGCTCCTTCTGGAGTGACTCAAGGGCCATTGCTGAGGAATTTGTGGCACCCCAGAGGCTGAATATATCAGATCCAGCCACCACCAGCCAGGGGAATCTCTTCTACACTCAGGCCTCTTAGATGGCAAACAAACCCCAGCAGCCTGCAAAGCATTTTCTATCACTCTGGTCCCCATTCAGCAGGGTCCTTAACATAGTGAAGTACATGGGGCTAGTCCAGAGCACCTCAAAGTGTGGGATGTGCCCCCATAGGGGGGCATGGAGGACCATCCGGTGGGGCCTGGTCCAGCCTCCACACAGGCGGGGAGGGAGCGCCACCCAGCCCCTCCCTGCCCCCAGCTCTGCTCCGGTCCCGCCTCCAGCTGCGTCCCTGGCTACCGGCCCCGCACCTGGCCCCATCCCCAGCCTTGATGCAGCTCCTCTCCCAGCCCCGTGACAACCCCCAACCTCGGCCACTGGCCGCAGCTCTCTTCCCAGCCCAGGGCCAAGGCTGGGGGCAAGGCCAGGAGCGGAGCTACACCTGATTGCTGGCCCTCACCGGAGGGGGGCGGTGTCGCAGACAGGGGTAAGGGGGGACATGACTTTCAAAAACTTGGGGACCGCTGGGCAAATCACATGCCTCGAGAACCTTGTTGAATCAGTGCCTATAACTGGCTCCAGGACTAGCCTTACGCACAGGTGCAGCAAGCTGTGGCTGGGAATCTGATTCTGTGTGAGTCACCATGTCCCAGGCAAGCGCTGAATCAGAGGAGAGCAGGGACAGCCCAGCCACGGCTGCACAACCTGCAGCCATGGGGCGATTACCAGGCACACACTATGTTGGCATTGTTGACGCTTCAGGGCTGTGTGCTGTGGTTTGGTGCTGGCTAGGAGCTCTGCTGTGCAGAGCGGAGTGCCTGAAGAATCAGGGACTTCCCCCTTTTAACCCCTAGTGCATAATGCAGTGTTCCGCCTCCTCCTTGGCCCCAAATCCCTTCTCCAGGAGCAGCGTGGATACTCACCCCAGTCTGCTTTCAGAACCTTGAGACAACTCATGAGACTGAGGCCGGGAATGAACATGTCAGTTCCTTACCATACCCGTGCATCTGATATCAGAGGTTGGCCTAGTTCTGGTTTGGGAGTATGGGCGACAGATACCACAGCAGGTTTAGAGATGGTGGTAAATGTATAGACAGAAGCCCCTTGGTTATCAGCTCATAGACCTGATGGCTATTGCATTCATGGTTTCATGAGAGAGTAGCAGCTAAATATTATTTTCCAGCACGTGGGTGATAGGTGAGACCTTAGTTCACTAGAAACCCTGGGCCAACCCCTCAGCTGCTGTAAATTGATGTAGCTTGAATACAATCAGTGGAGCTAAGTGGACATATAAAAATCCCTTCTTTCCATGATCTTATGCAAATGACACAACGGATTCGTGCCAGACAAAAGTAATTGTAGGGATTGTTTTCTACCCACTAAGTAAAATACCATTAAAAAACCCCCAGGAATCATGAAAACAACTAGCTGCTGTTGTATGTCTGGCTGCTCCACACAACTCTATTAACAAAATAAATCTGATTTCTTAAAGTCAGTAAAAAAGCACATTTCATATAGAGGGGACACGCTTTTCAGACAATAGTGCAAGGACACATAAGGAGACACTAACGCTCTTGTCTAGCCCCTCCTCACCAAGCCATTGGAGAGAAGAAAGGCCCAGCTCTCAGAGGCAAGGGAGCCACATGATGCATTTGCAATCCTGCCCTGACATGTAGAGCAGCTCAAACTATGTTGTCTCCTATTTACACAGTTTTGATCCACTGTGATCCATACTGGGAACTTGACCCTGATTTTTAGTTCAGCACATCTAATTTACCAGGCTGTAATAAAGATATCATTCAAAAAAACAGCTGTTTAAAAACGGTAATAGTAGCTAATAGGAGCTTTGAAGATGCCTCCATTTTTGGTTGGGAAATAAAAGAACTACCGATCTGATCACCAGTGGCAGGGCTGTATAACGGACAGGCAGTGTGCTCTAGTGGGTGGAGCACTGGACTGGGACTCAGGAGCACTCAGTTCTGGTCCCAGTTCTTCCACTGACCCACCAGGCAAGTCACCGCCCCTCTGTTTCCCCTCACACCCTTTTCCTGCTTAGATTGCAAGCTCTTCAGGACAGCCCTTAGCACAATGGAGCCCCTCTTTGATTTGGGGCCTTTGCGTATGTGATGGAGTGGGCACCCCACACCAGCCCGGATAGGGCTAACAGCAGCCTGAGAGGCCAGTTAGGTCACCTGGGAGAGGGAGGGCCAGGGTTAGCTGAGAGTGAAGCCCGGCCGGGGATGGGCTGGGACAGCTCTATAAAGCCAGGAAGCTGTGTGGGGAATGGGACTAAAGGGGAGGGAGGTTATGGTCACTCTGTGGAAGGCTGTCAGGGACAAGGAGAGAGTCCAAGGGATGAGTAAGCCCTGTGATCCTGCCCTAGAGTAAGGAGTCTGGTAAGAGGCAAAGAGGGGGGTGAAGTAGTCACAGGGAGCAGAGTTTGCTCCTGTGGTAAACCCAGAAACAGGCTGAGAGGGGCTGAGTAGGAAGGAGCCCAGCCCAGGGACACAGCAACAGGGAATGGGGACTGAGTTGACCTGGATTGAAGGCTATAGGGTCCCTGGGCACAGGAGTGCCACCAGCTTTTCTGCCGTCCTAGGCGGCGGAAGGTCCCGCCCCAAATTGCCGCCCCCCACAGAGGCGGCGGAAGGTCCCACTGCCGAAATACCGCCGCGGTCGCCGCCCCCCAAATTGTAGCGCCCTAGGCAACCGCCTAGGTCACCTAATGGGTTGCGCCGGCCCTGCCTGGGCAGGAACCCAGTGCAGCAGGTGGACCTGGGTTCCCCTGCCAGCCACTGGTAGGGTGGCCCAGAGCCTGAGCTGGGACTGAGCACTCCCTGGAGAAGGCATTTGGATAGTGGTCCTGTCAGGCTTCCCCACCCCGGAAAGGGTGCACTAAACGGGGCCCTGGCCCGAGGGCCAAGTTCCAAGAAGAAGAGATTATTGCAGAGGGCAGAAGGGGGGCACCCCATATTGTAAGGCCTACTTTCCCAGCCAGATCTAGACACAAGGAGGTACCCTCGTGGTGAGTGGGAACCCTGTTACAATGTGCTCTTGTAATATTACTGCTAATTATTGTATTCTCTTCCCTTGCAAGCAGGCGCTGTGGCAACTTACCCTAGCAGAGGACTTTTTGTCGTGTTACTTCTCTCAAATGGTTGAATGATTATTCAAATCCTACCTCTGCACATTAGCACTCCCCTTGCAGCCCAATCAGTGTTCAATTAGCTCACATAAACAACCGGCTGATTTTGAATTCCTGCTGTAGGGGCTCATGGAAGCCATCCCACTTATGTATTTACCTTTCTCCTCCCACTGAAAAGCACCACAAAAGGAAATGCACCACCAATTAAAATAAATATAAATACTAAAGGGCCTTAGCAAGATCCCAGCACTCCAG